TGTTGCTCATGCTGTCCTTAACTCCCACTCCTCCTGCCCTGTCGCTAGAGTGGTGGGATGCGAGGCCTGCACCACCGAGGCTGGATACTTACGTTTGCTTCATAATTACTTCTACCTCAAACAGGACCAGCATCTTCATCACTCTTGAAAATTCTCTTGAGCCCTTGCCCCACCAGTTCATACCTGTTCCTAAGTTGGTGACCATTATTTGATCTCAGCTAGTGGTTTAATTTTCCTGTTCTCAAACTCCATCTGGGGAGCCAGACATGATGGACGGCCTCCTCTCTGACATTTGAATAATGTTTCCTACTAGACGATTGTTAGTGTTCAACCAACAATCAGAACAGATGGGTGGAACTACTAACCCTGATGCCTTTGGGGCCAGTGAGCCCTGGAAGTCCTGGAGAGCCCTAGATCCAAGTGGAAAAAGGAAAAGTCAGTACAGCAAAAACCTTTTGGTGGTATGCCACCCACACACACACTGGACGCTCCAGGCTGGTCTCCACAGGTGCTATGCCACCCCCCCACACACACACACACTGGACGCCCCAGGCTGGTCTCCACGGGTGCTATGCCACCCACACCCACACACTGGACGCCCCAGGCTGGTCTCCACGCTGAGCAGTTTTCCTCCTGTGAATATTTCCCTGTTGATAAATCTTGATCACTTGATTCAATCAAGGACCAATCAGAATGGACGAACAAAACTGCATTTATGCCCTTGCTACTCAGAGAAGTGTCATCAGGGACCAATGACTTGGCATCAACCTGGGAACAGTCCCGCCCCTTTTCCTCCTCCCAGGCATATTGATTCAGAACCCACATTTCATCAGGATTTTGTTGGGGTTCTCCTGCACTGGAAAGTGCTGCGAGCCTGTAAAAGACTCACATTAGCCCAGCAGCTTCTGAGGTCTGATAAGGAAGAATGCCGTGGTTAAAACGGCCAAGGAGGGCTGCAGCTGGTGATTCCACGCAGGAGAAACAACACTTCATAGCGAAAGGTGCCTGACACGTAGGAGAAAATAAATAACAAAGCGAGGACTGCCTGTATCACACATGACTTTCTTTCCAGCGCATCCCAGTTTGAGGCCCCCTTTCATAGGGAATAACCTTAAATGGAGAATATTTTAGCTACGCTACTTGCTGTGAAAGCACCATTGTGCAAAAGCTGTTTTCGTCATTCCAGAGAGTTTCAATTTTTTTTTTCTTTTTGAGAAAAGGCTGTTACAGAGTCTTTTGAGATTGGACTGTCTAGGCCAAAGTCAACCCTTCCCTTCTGAGGTGGAATTTCTGGGTGCAAGGCCATGTTCAAGGCTGTCTCTTTCCCTGGGTAGGAGCTGTTTTGTTATGCGGAGGTCAGAAAAGTAGACAGATTTGCAGGTTCTACTTCCCTGTAGTAAATCCTCTTGTGCAGAAAATAACACTGAGAAAGGAAGCCTAAAAATCTGAAAGGTTTTAATGGCAAGATTTTAATGTTTTCTGGTTGTTTGCCTTCAGTCAAGTTCTCCCTTGGGGCTGTATGTACCTCTAAGCTATGTTTGGACATAAGATCTCATGACATGACAGGCATTTCCTGGGTTAGTTTTGTGGAGTATCTGCCCAACGTGCAATCTACAAGAGGCAGCATGGCGCTAACAACTCTAATTGCAAGTGGTATTCCTCAAGGGGTGCTGAAGGCAAGCGAGCAGAGTAGGGTATAGGGAAAGAAAGAAGAAAGGAGTTCTCAGCTGGTCTACCTGTAGACTTCACACACCGAAAATACTTGGACCAGAGAAAAGAAGGGAAATGCAAGCCAAAGCCCTGAAAACAGTCAATGGAATAACCAGAGTTTTAAAAAATGTGTGTATGTGCATGCGTGTTTGCGTGTTATGCATGTATGTGGAAGCCAAACGTGTGTGTGTCTGTGTGTGTGTGCTATGCATGTATGTGGAAGCCAGATTTGGCATTTGGTATCTTTCTCTATTGTTCTGCATCTTACGTTTTCAAACAGAGACTCTAACTGAACTGAGAGTGTTAATTGGTTCAGTTAGGTTGGCTGGTTATTGAGCTCCACAGATCCCTTCTCTGTCCCCCTGCTCCCAGCTCTGGGGTTTAGATGCACATTGCTGTGTCTGGCTTTCACAGAGGTGCTGGGGATCTGAACTCAGGTCCCTGTGCTTATAAAGCCAGTACATTTTACCTTCTCAGCCATCTTGCCCATCCTAGCTAATTCAAGATTAGCATCAGAAGAACAAAAGGAGGAAGAATAACACTGGCTTGGACCACACAGACAGGAATGGTAGAATCCCTGGGCATCAGGCTTGGTTTTGTAAACTTAAGTATGGCTTTCGTCGCTTAGGTGTGGTCACAGATACTTGTCTCTGCCTTTAGTGCTTGGCCTATAGCTCCCAAGATCCTTCATCCTTCCTTAGAGGTTGGGATACAAGGATTGTCTTTAGCCTCCTAATATTTGACTCCTCATATAGAGCTCCCAGGTCCCTCTGAATCCCCCAACACATCGAGAGACATCTTTTGATGAGGGTATTTTTGGCAGGCTCCTGGCTTGGGGATGGTCACCAGAAAGGCTAATCCCCAATTAGAAGCTAGGAGTCTCTGGTTGCAGCCCCACTGTCTAGGCTGAGGAGAGGCTCCTGCCTCCTAGAGGAAGTGCCTGCAAAAGTCTCTAGTCTGAGGTGATTACGGAGAGCTCTGGGCAGGTGGGCATCCATGAACCACAAGAACGAGACAATTCACTTCCAGGGAACGAAAGTGCCTACACTGGGACCTTAAGTGAACCCTATGTGTCTATTCACATGTGTCCTTTATAATGAGGTGGTGAACAGAAAGGTCTCCTTGAGTTCTGTGTATACATCACAGTGCCAACATGAGGAATATACAAAATACGGGGAGGAATAATTGGGTCAGTGCTAGGATTGGGGTAAAAATATCACTTAAGTGTTCTATGCATTTTTCTAAGAGATAAGTCAGTACAGTTTGCAACTTTGAAAGATTCCACAAAGATCAATTACAATGATTTTTTTAATAGGTTATTAGTTTACAGCTTGCTGGAGACTAGTAGTCAGGAGAGTTTGTGTGCGTGAGAGCAACCGAATCTGTCTAGCTAATGTCACCAGTAGGAAGGTATGAGCAGCGGATCTCATGGTGCGGTTATTTAGCCAATGCTCTCGGGTGTTTATAGAAACGAGACCTTTGTGTGTCACACCCTTTAGGGTAAAGATGTGTGACAAGTGTGAGGGTGACAGTCTCTGTTATAGACCTTAGAAGCCTGATGCTTAACAGACCCCTCAAAGGTAGAGGTGGCTACGGAGACAGGAAGAGAATCAGGAAAAGGGACTTCCAGAACCAAAGGCAGACAGATGTCTCCAGACCCGCTAGGTTGGAATCAAAGAAGAGGTTCGTGTCAAGTAAAGACACAAAAGCACCCTCTCAGAGGCCATTTGGAGGTAACTGGCTAAGGGGAGGCGGGCAGGAGACCAACAGGTACCACATTAACTATTTCTTCAAGAACCCGACCTATGGAAAAGACAAGGAGAGGTTGACAACCTTTGGTTAGGGTACCTAAGGATCTAGATGAAGGTATATGCCAGTATAGAAGAATACTTGCATGTTTTAGCACTAAAAGAGAAGAGCCAGCACCAAAAGCATAGTTCAAAGGTCCCTTAGAGAAGAAGTACTCCTGGACTACGGTCATGGTAGGAGTCGCAGTGGTCAGGGCACAGGTGGAAGGACAGGTCTTCAGTTAAGGAGGAAAAACCTCATCTTCCCGTGTAAGACAAGCTTGGCCAGATTCATGGCTAGAAACTACACGGGCTAGAATGTACCTCTGAAAGCTCAGCTAAGATAGGAAACCAAGGATTTGTTTTTCATCCACCAGGTGGCTATAATGGGAAATTCTCTTCAGGGCCTCAGTGGCCTTTGTGGTGGGCATAAAAAGGGGGTTGGTAAACAGACTATCAACAAAGCTTTAAGGGTGACATACCTTGGGTCCCTGTGGTCCAGGCAATCCTTCAGGACCTGGAAATCCTTTCTGGCCAGGTAAACCAGGGGGCCCAGCACAGCCTTTCTCCCCCTGTTAAAACCAAAATGGGACAAGAAGCAAGCAGCAATGAGCCAGCAACACACTGCGCCACACCCCTGCCTTCTCTTCGTCATGGCGTTCTTCTCTTGCATCAAAGAGTCAATAATCACACTCAGCACCCAGGAAAACCATCATCTAGAGACACACGTCCGTAGGCTTCAAAGTGATGCCCATGTCCTTGTAGAGAATGACTTTTACCAGATGGTAAACCTACTACTCAGGATAGAGGTTAGAAGGGAAGGAACCAAGAATGGAAAGAACAGTATGTTTAGAAAATTAAGGTTAGGCCGGGCAGTGGTGGCGCACGCCTTTAATCCCAGCACTCGGGAGGCAGAGGCAAGAGGATCTCTGTGAGTTCGAGGCCAGCCTGGTCTACAAGAGCTAGTTCCAGGACAGGAACCAAAAACCTACGGAGAAACCCTGTCTCGAAAATCCAAAAAAAAAAAAAAAAAGAAAAGAAAAGAAAATTAAGGTTAGTGGAGTGTGTTTATTAAGGCATGGAGATGGTGAAGGTGAGGTGGAAAGCCTTGTTTTAAGGTCTTAGTAATGACAGAATGAAAACAGAATACCATAGAAGTACAGACTGGAGACCTTTTGTTGTTGCACAGGAATGCATTTCCCAATCAGCTATTTTCATAGGAGCTGCAGGAAAGGTGTCAAGGGCAGCATCATGAACTCGTAGGTGAAGCTAAATGATGCTATGGGCCCTAGTAGAATTGAGTTTAAAAAAAAAAAAAGCCTTCCCATGGATGTGAATACCAAGAAATAGTCTTAATAGTTAAGGCCACTAGTTAATTTGTTTTGTTACAACTGGTAAATGCAACAAATAAATAAATAGATAAATAACTACATAAAGCCACAGAAAAGATTGAATGTCTAGTCATTTCCACTGGTCTGTAGGCAAGCACACCTGCTAAACAGAGACAGAAGTGGATTTGCTACACTTCTCACAGCTCAGTTACTTTCCCATGTTTGAGGACTGCATTGTGTGTATAGCTGTTAGTTACCCTTCATTATTGTTGAATAATTAATTAATGTTTCCGAGGAAGGAATCTGTAAACAAACAACAAATACTTTAGCTCTGCCTGTCTTAATTTTTTTAAACTGCGAGTTAATGGGGCGAACTGATGAGATTTCACAGCATTCTTTTTCTTTGAATTCTGCAATGAAGCTTTGAATTTTTTTTTCCTTGACTGGAGTGCTGCTGCTGGATTTTACCACAAGGGGGCGATCTTGTCCCAGCGCTGCGGCACAGCATCTGTGGGTTTCATTCAATGTTTACATAGAAGCGAGAGAATCAAGTTGTTTTAGTTTCTTCTCTCATGTTTAGCAACATCATAAATATAGTGTATGCTAGGGAGGAGTCTTAAAATGTTCTCTTTCTGCCAACTTGCTACTTATTCAGCCGAGAGAGTTACAGTCTAACTGCCAGTATTTACACAAGGAAGCAGGAGTAGCCAAAGCTTCCTAGAAGACTTTCAACATTGTTTAAGGTTAATGTTTATATACAATTACTTTAAACATGGATTTAGGGGACTTTGATAACGTAGTGAAGATCTCCACTACAGAAGAGTAAAGTGTGACAGACTCAAAGCATCTCTGGTGTGAAGAGGCAGCGGGAAGTTCTGCTCTTACCTTCTCCCCTTTGGTCCCCACGCAGAAGCACCGGCCCTTGCCTTTGCAGATGCAGCCCTGGAAAGAGCAATAGAGGACGGTTGATGGATAGCCAACCCATTTTATGTTCTTTGAATCTTGGACACTTAAACTCCCATGCATGGGACACTGGCATTTCATCAATAAATGTGAAGAGGAAAACCATCCTAGAAAGAGTGGTCAAATGACATGGAAGTGTCACCGTTTTTTGGACTTGGGAAGTTAGGCAACTTGTTTGTGGAAAAGGAAAAGCTGTTTATCTCTCTCCCTTTTTGCATGATAAGAAAAAGTTGGACTGTCTGAAACTGCCATTGTTGTGGTGGAAAGTGATGTAACACTGGAGTATTCTTAGCTTCAGTAGAACGTGCGTGCGTGCATATGTGCAAGCGCTTGTGTGTGTGTGGGTGCGTGTCTGTGTCTGTGTGTTTGGGTTCAATGCATATTTGTACCTGACTTTCCTGTGTGCAACAAATCTTATATATCATGACTGAACACATAACATATTCCACAGGTGATTCCAAGCTTCGCTTTCCCTGAAACAACGCTCAAGACTAAAATAGATGCTCACTGTGTGCCTTTTAGACCTTCGCTCACTATGCTGACATCCGAATGATCTTCCTTATGAAAAGAATGAAAGCTACATCACTGAGCTGGGGAAATGCTGTTCTATCTCGTCCCTTTGATACCTCCACAAACTCAGCCCTTAGAAACTATGTACAAATCAGCTCTAAAAAATATTGACTACCTACAGAGAAACAAGAAGAAAAATAGCTATACATGGCAGATTTAGTATGCACTTTGACATAAATAATATACTCTGTGGTCATACATGAACCTTTTCCTTCAACGTTTCCTTTAGTTAATACTAACTGCAAAATTAGTTTTCTTTTATAGAAAAATATGATCGATAATTGATAATATCAACTGATAATTGATAATATACAAAGCTAGGAGGCTGGCAGGTAAATTACAAAGAAAACAGGGAATTCTATTTGTGTAACTGAAAAGAAAAGTCTTAACACATAATTAACTGAATATATTTCCTGAGGGGATGATGGGGGCTTTTGTGCCATTCACAGAGGTGAGTGTGGAGGGGGGGTGACTTCCACTCTTCCCACCCTCATCCATTCATAAACATTGTGATTTATATGAATGGGAAGTAACTGATTGAGGCGTTGGTAGCCTCCCTGAGGTTTGGTTATTTGATATTCTCAGAAGACCAGGTCTTTGCTCTTTTCCTCACAGGTGTTTGGCATGATACAAGCATGTCTTGATGATCTCAGATTTGTCTTTCTGGATTTTTAACTGTCTACATTCATGTCAGTCATGTGTTTAGCTGCACTCTTCCTAGCAATGGCTTCCCTGAACATCCACGACATCTCATCTCTGCCCCATGACTAACTGAATCAGAACCTTTAGGGCCAGCTCTCAGGAATCTGTTTCATGAAGGCCTCTTGTTGGTAGTGATTTCTTTCTCACAGTTGAGGACTCCATCACTGAGTGCACTTGACGTAAGTATATGTATAGTTCCCTAGACAGTGTCTTCAAGTAGAGCATACAAGGAATTCCCTAGCCACTGTTCCCAATAGACAGCAAGAATCTCTGCCTCTCATCAGCCACAGACACCTGGATCCTGAGCATCTGATCCACAGAAGGGAGAGGTATCTTACTCATTATCTAAACCAGAGAATATTAAATGGGGCCACAAGGCAGAAAGTCTATCTATCTATCTATCTATCTATCTATCTATCTATCTATCTATCTATCTATCTACCTATCCATTTTAGAGGTCATATTGGGCTTCCACACCTGGGAACCTTTCAGCCAGAGCTTGAACGAGTACCTCCTTACTCCTTTAGTCTAGACCACATCTCCTCTCCTATCCCTTCTCGTGGATTTTGTAGTTACATGTTGGATGTACGTTTTTTTCTGTTGCCTGTATGTCCACCCCAGGAGAGAAGGACCCACCCAGCGATGCTCATGCCGATGTCCTATTTGTGCTGTACACCCTGAACAAACTCTGCACTGATTGGATGGAAGCTTATGGCTCACCCTGAACAAACTCTGCACTGATTGGATGGAAGCTTATGGTTCACCCTGAACAAACTCTGCACTGATTGGATGGAAGCTTATGGCTCACCCTGGACTTGGAATTTTAAAGCCCAGGAGTTATGTGATGGTTGTTTGGCAATTATGATTGAGGTGAACAAGAGTGAAACCAGAGCCTTTAGTTACCTTCACACGTTAAAACCAATGCAAACCGAATTGCTTGTTAGTGTTTGGACTGAAGAAAATTTTAGAAAATCATAAATTCCTCATGAGGGCTGAAAAGCAGTACAAGAAACGACCATATACTATCTCACTTAAGTTCAGCAGCTGTTGGTGTAATCTGCTCCTCCATTCCATTTCCCTTTGTCTCTGGTGTTCTCTCCTACTTTCTTTCTTTACACACACACACACACACACACACACACACACACACACACACACTCCCCTGTCACCAAACAACCCAAAAGCAAATGGCATGCATGCTGACATGTTACTCCATATGAGCACGTATTCGTACCTAACCACAGCACATTAATGAAGAAGCCCAAATGGATATCATCTTAGCACACTTGTTTATTAGAGGATCGTAGTTTATTTAACGTCCTTGATGATGGCAGAAACTTGAAAGCTGTTTCACATCTAGCAAATCTTTGATTGTATAGTAGAAACTTCATCACTTAAAAAACATTTCTAGGTTTATGTGTGTATGTATAATGTATGCTACATACATCGGTGTAGCCCCAGAGGACAGAAAATTACATATCGTTCCCCAAAGTTGGAGATTATGAGGCCCCAACACACGTGCTAAGAGAGCGGAACTTGGGTGACCGCTAACAGAAAACCGTCAGATGACTTGCTGGCTAGAAGAAGGTACAGAGAGTCTGATCTTTCTGGGCGCCAACTCAAAGGACAGGCGTTTTGAGTGGGCCACTGTATCCTATCTTCACAATCTGCCCTATTCTTATATCTTGCGGCTGCCTAGTAAACGTGGATCCACAGCTAGGTCCACAGCTGTCTCTTTCTGCCTGGGTTAGCAGAACTATTCCAGAATCAGTCAAACAGTCAGGGTGTGGCCTGCCTACATGTCTGCACAACCATGCTGTCTGGAACTTCAGAATGTGTTACGTGACAACTTGCCTAGGGGTAGATCCTCCACCTGACTGGACGACCTCCACGTTACAGTAAGAACAGCTCTCTGGCAACTGTTCTGAGGCCCGTGTGATGGCCATAGAGGGACTGGCAGGGGACCTCATGAAATAAGGTCCCCAGGGAGTGATCTTTCATGCAAGGTATAAATTCCTTTCATTTTGCCCTCTTCCCTTAAACACAATCTAAACTTTGCAAATATATTTCAATCAGTTGATCGTTAGATTCCTCAACAAAATGATGCAGGAGCCATGGCTAAATCCTTTGCATTCATTTTGACGGATCTTTTTTTAAAATGCCACAACCACCTTAATGGATCCAACCCACTGATTACTATTCAGAAGTTAACTCCCTTAAGAAGCCATAGGGCCAGCAGCTACTGTTCAACCAACTCCACTGACTGGCTATTTCTCATGCAATAGTTTTATGATTTTTCCTTTTGCAGCAGCAAAGTGTCCTTATGCCAAACCTCAAGGAAGTAAGAAGCAGGACGTTCTTAGTAATCAACCCTGCCCTCTCTCCCCTGGAATCAGAATGCTGGCCGAGGCTAGTGCTTTGGCACATTTGAATATTAAATAACTCACCTGGAGGGTGGACATCATTCTTTTAATGAGTGCATTCATGTTTTATAGCCTCAGAATGCACGATAAACATTCACTGCAGAGAATCTAAAAGATTTGGAGCCCTGGATCCCATACCCAGTACACACGGGCTACTGTATGTATGTCCTGTGGGTCATCAGTGCAGGTTTCAAGTAGAGTTTGGGGTCAGTTGCCAAAGGCTTCCCAGTCATTGGTTCCACTTGAAGAGGAAGGCCTTAAGGTTTGCCTTGTGGCATGTGGCAATTAATGAAAGAAGGGGCCTTGAGTTAGCGAGAGAGCAAGGGTTTGGAGGGAGGGAGTCAAAGGAGAGATGACACAACTATGTTACAATCTCAAACAAAAAAGATTCATCTTGTGATGGTTTGCAGAGGAATAGGGATCAGTGCCAAGCTGCTTACAAATGGCTGTGCACTCAGTAAGGTCTCAGGCACTGGGGGACGTTCCCTCTCTGTTCCACACATGACTATTTGCCAAAGGCCAGCCATGTGACTGTCTGACTTTATCTTCAGTCCGTGTAAACTAGCCATGTTCCCCTGAAACATTTCCTCCTGAGTTCATCCAATGCCAGAAAACTGGCCTGGACTTTCAGAATAAGGATGAGACTGAAAATTCTTTGTTAGTTCCACAATGGGGTCATAGTGTCTGTTACCAGTATCCGGAGAGGATACCAAGTGTATTAGTTCACTAGTTCAATGTTATTTGTACACGAACACAGATGCTGTAACATTTTATTTATTTAATATTTTATTTATTTAATAAAATGTTCCTTAGAAATCTCAGTGCTATCTGATGTTCATGGTGATGGGTGCAAATTTGTACAGGTGATATACAAGCAGCAATTACTCAGCTGCTGTCTGGGCAGCCGGGATAGGCTTTGTCTCAGCTTCCACAGCATCCAAGCATCACCCGCACTCTGTTAAACTTAGCCATTGTTTGGTGCTGCAGAGTTGGTTCAGTGGTCAGAGTGGATGCCGCTCTTCCAGAGCACTTGAGTTTGGCTCCCGGCATCCATATTGGATGGCTCACAACCACTTGTAACTCTCGCTCCAGGAGATTCAACACCCTCTCAGACTTCTGCAGGCACCCCCCCACACACACACACACGTGACATTTACCCACACAATCACACACATAAAGAAAAATAATAAATTAACAAGCCATCTAATGAGGTACCTTGATTCTTACTGTTTGTGAAAGGTGCAAGAAATTTATACATACATTTTTACTTCCCATTAATAGAAAACATTTTTTTCAGATTCTCTCCTCCTCCTCTCTGAACACGGCACATCCCATTTCTGCTGGCTCATGATGTGGAGGTGGCCTCCTGCTCCCTCTGTCTCTCCCCACATCCAGCTACCCCGGGGTCAGTGGGAGGGGAAGTTGGCATCTTCGGAGTTGGTTCACACTCTAATGAACAGGGCTGCTGACTTTGCATTAACATGATTGACCCTGCCAGTCTCTGTGCCCAGCCAATGGCCCGAGGCAATGGTTTTCGTATGTGAAAAGAAGAGCTGAGCCAGTCCAAGCCAAGCGGTGCCAGACAGCCCCCCCCCCAACCGTTCTCTGCAGAGTGGCCTCCACCCAGTGACCTGCAGCTTTGGCAGCTTGCCCTTCAGTAAAGGAGGGTCTGGCAAGGGGTGGCCTGCCCCACCCACCGGTGCTCCCACTCTTCCCATCTTTCAGCTCCTGCCCAGGGAGATGGCACTAGTCTAGACAACAAACCCAGCCACCCGCTTTGGATTTTCTGAGTGACAGACAAGCCTGCAGAGGAGTGACAATCTGAGTTCCCCGGCATGTTTGGAGATAAACACCTCGGTAAAAACACGTCCTTCCTGCCTTGTGTATTCCAAAGAGTGAGGTGCGTGCCAGTTACTAGCAACTCCTGTCCCCTAAACTATTTTAAAATCTTTTAGTTTTAAGCGTTTCTAATTAGTATACATCTTCTGTGGAGTTTTCAAACAAGCACTGTTTTTGTGTGACCTGGTGTCCCTTCCTCCATGTCACCTCCCATCCCTCGTACTCTCCTATTTACCCAATCCATAACCTCCCTTCTGCCTTCGTGTCCCACATATCTTATAGGTGTCCCTACTACCTCAACATCTCTTGCTCTCTTCCACTGAGCTCCTTTCTAGTCTTACAGTCTATATCCACACTTCCTTACTCATCCTCGTTCATATATACTTATGAACGTTATAAACTCAGGTTCGTGTATAAGGGAGAACATTAGCTTTTTTTCTTTCCGAGCTTGTTATTTTGGTTACTATAAAGCTTGCTAGGTTCATCTATTTTCCTGTACGTTTCCTCACCTTCAGTTTCCCTCAGGTATATTTGTGTGCGTATGAATATATATGAATATGTGAATTCCCTTGTGTATATGCACCACATTTTCAGCATCCACCCATCCTCTTCCTTTCCAAACAATTCAGCAGTTGACATGGGTTTGCAAGTGCATGTATGTCAGGACATGGAGTCTTTGGGGCGTTTACCCAGAAGTGGTACAGCTGGATCTTATGGTAGCTCTAGTTTCAATTTTTGAGAAGCTTCTCTACTGATTTCCGAAACGGCGGAACTAGCTTAGATTCTTGCTCACGGTGAGTAAAGGGTCCACGTTCCCCCCACTTGTGCTGGCGGGTGTCACTGGATTTCTTGATCTTAGCCATTCTTCATGGGGCATGTGGTGTCTGTATTATGAAGAGTCTGTGTATTGTTCCTTTTTCACAAACCCCACTGACCTGCACAGGTTAGGCTGGGAGGTGCCGAATGGGCCCGAGGTGCCGAATGGGCCCGAGGTGCCGAATGGGCCCGAGGTGCCTCTTCTCACTTCCCTGCTCCTCCTGTAAAATACTGTTGACTTTGTCATCTATTGTTCTAGAATTTTCTCTTCATAGGTGAAAGCAAGCTAATTTTACATTGTCATATGTACCAATGGGTCCACTACAACAATATGATATGTTAATGACAGTGTTTTTAGAACCAGTAACTCTTAACACGAAAACTTCCCTAAAATCAAATAAAAATGAAAAAAAAAAACTCAAATAATCTTAACAAAAAAACTTCAAGCAATAGAAAATCCAAACTCCATGCTGGGAAGTGGATGCCTGAATATTCTGGTTCCTTAGGTCTTTCAGAAATCCCTTTCATGCTGTTTAATCTCTCCTACTTCCCCACTCCCCAGACATGGGGGTTTCTTTGTGTGACAGCTCTGACTTTCCTGGAACTCACTTTGTAGACCAGGCTGGCATCTAACTCACAGAGATCAACCTGTATCTGCATCCAGAGTGCTGGGACTAAAGGCATGTGCCTCCAGTGCCCGGCTGCTCCTTACTCTTTTAAAGTATATGTTTCTTATGTACAAAAGCTGCCTGCTTCCTTGCACTGGTCAGTTGCTGGGGAAATAGTGGCATTCTGCTTGTTGACTTGAGGGTCCTGAGATACTCTGGGGACTGTAGGCGTGTCCAGCACACAGTCTGCAAATGCCATGTAACCCAGCGCAGAATGCAAGACTTTCATGCAGCTTTATTTGATAACTTGACTGTGCAATTCTCCATTGTGAATTTTACGTCAATGCATCATGTCACAATATCAAAACACTGGTCACACCATTCGTCTTACGCAGTGGTTGACCCTGTGTGTAGTAATACCGACTGGCCAGGAAAGATGAGCTCAGTGGAACCATAGGAACAATTCTAGAATGGGGGCAACGAACTGCTTTCTGGTTGAATTGTATGCCCAGTCCAGGTAAAAGAATTCATGTCCGGAACTGTAAACCTAGCCCAAAGCCTGTGACTGGGGAGGTAACAGGTCCTGGTAGGGCAAGTACTGCTACTGTTTTGTCAAACGGACATGAAGCCCGACAAACTGCCTTATGGCTGGCCACCTTTATGTCTTAGAATAGTTTTGCTGTCAGCTTTGGTCAAAGTGATGAGTCATGACTGCAGAGGCTTGCACTTGGTCAAATATAATGTTAATATAAAGTTAAATGTCTCAGCACAGGTGGGGCAGCTCTGTCACTCCTTCCAAGGCTCAGGGAACATTATGGAGAGGGGCAGGAGGACATGGTAATCAGATGAAGTAGGTTGGAGAGCAGTATGGAATGCAGGCTTCTGGGCATGTCATGACTCCCACACTCTTGAACTCACAGAGACGGTGGTTACCTGCACAGGATCTTCTCGGGGGCTGTCAGCACCCTGTCATGGCAGGGAGAGACACTCATCGTTCTCAACCCCTCTGAGGACTCAAACACAGGTAAGTGTTGATGGAGAGAGAGAAAGGAGAGAGACAGAGACAGGGGGAGGGATGGAGGGAGATAGACACACACACTCAGAGAGAGAATAGCTTCTGTGGAGTTGAAGTTGGTTCCTTTTTGAAGAGGAACTCGGGACGGGGTGGTCAGGGAAGGAGAGGGCTTTTAATCTCAACCTTTCATGTTACGGGTATTTTATTACTATGTCGCTACTCTGTGCATGTTTTACTTTGCTAACAATTAATGATAAAGGTAAAAAGTCCATCTAGGATAGCTGTTTTGAAAATCAAAAGTAACAGTCAAAAGAACAACAAGACATTCATTTCAAATAAAGAAAGTGCCTTTTCTTTTACATTCAAAGGCCTGTAATTTATTAGTTGTTTTCTCAAACTACTGAACATGCTAAGTTCATCTTAGGTGGTATTTTTTTTTTCATTTGGAAAACTACTAACTTAGCTTTGATTTCCTTACAGAAAAAGCATGCAGTTAGAGTAAACAGAGGAAAATTTTAAACACAAAGCGATGAAGGCATTTGGTGAAGAAGTTGTAAAGCTGGAAAATTTTTACAGACCCACCAAAACCACCGCTGATAGGAGATGGTGACTGAGTTACAGGATGCCAAGATGGCCTCAGCTTCTCCCACCTCATTCTCGTTCCAGACCTGGTCCAGATTGCCTTAGGAGCCTAGAGCTTTTTATTTGACCTTGGCAAATGACTACACCTCAGTTTGAAGAGATTTTGGAGAGCCACACTACACATTGACTTTTCTGCCTGAAGGTTGGCCTGTGTAAAGAGCCACGGTGCCTGCATTTGTTTTTTTGGCTGAATTGGGCTCCACCCAAGCTGCTCACTACCCTATCAAACTTCTTCTCCCCCAAGGGACATAGGTGATGCTACCTACGTTAGAGATGGTGTGGGGTTGGGCATAAGCCAAGGAATCATGACTATGACGCTTCATAAAGGATAAGAAAATCTTGAGTTAGCTTTTTTTAAAAATTGTTTTTGTGTGTATGCATGCATATTCCGTGTGTGCGTGCACGTGTGTTCTGTTTCAATGTCCTTAAAATAAAGTTTTATATATTTCAGGCTGGCTTCGAACTTGTTTATCTGCCAACTGGTCCACCTCCCAAGGGCTTGAATCGCGTGCGTGCACGATCACCCTCAGTTTATGTGATGCAGGAAATGGACCCCCGGAATTGGTGCATGTTAGGCAAGCTAGATCCCTACACCCTGAACTTTGCCTATTATAATGTGAGATATCAATTTATTCAAGATGATTCATTCTAAGTAGCATGCTGGTATGGCAGTCTTGGTTCAAGTCACATTGTGATTCAGAAAATTCTCTCCATGGTATTTTATTCATTCTCATAATACTCCAGCTATCTAGAGCCAGGATATCCTTACTCTCCCAGAACCCCATCCCCGACAAGCAGGCCGAGGCTGGAGTCTGGATTGAAAAAGTGCTCAGCAGATTCACCTGTAAGGGTTCCCCAGACCACACTGACAAAATCCTCAACATATCTACTATTAAAAACAAACTTATTTCCACTTCAAATATCATTACTATTAATTCCTGTGGTACTTATGAAAAATGCAGACTAGTTGGGGTTAGTGTGTAACTCCAAATAAACTCCACAAATTAGATTATGCCAACTTCCCCCATTAAACGTATTTGCTTATCATGAAATCAGTCCATCAGTGCTAAGTCTACACTCATAAACTTAGGACGTTATTTTGTGTTCTGGTGCCCACGTTCACCCCCTCCCCCCAGCTTGAGGTGCTGGTCCCCAGGAAGTGTTGTGTGCTATTCTCTCACCCACAAAAGCTGCCTGCTTGTTCACATTCCTGTGCTTTTCCACATGGTGTGTGGCTGCCATGGCCACTTCTCCATGTCCAGTCCTTTGCTTAGGTAAGTTTGCATAGTTGGGAGCTGTCCAAAGGTTACCCCTTTCTTCTCTAAGTACTCAGAGCAGTTGCCAGTCCCCTCACCTGGGGGGCACATACTGCGCTCAGAACGTCCATCTGTTTCCTGCGTTGTTTCCCTGGTTTTCAGCACCACATGGTTCAGGTTCTCTGTGTTCTGACCAGTTCACAGCACCGAGGAAAGATGCGGCTGTTCTTCAGGGAGGAATCCATCCCCTTAGCTCCCACAACTTCACGAGGGTAAGCAGAACTTTCTGTCCTGCCCAGTCTCTCAGCTATTTAGTCCCAAAGAAACACACAGGGGCCTACATTAATAATAATCTGGTTGGCCTATTAGCTTAGGCTTTTAATTAACTAGTCTTTACAACTTAGTTAACCCATAATTCTTGTCTATGTTTAGTTATGTAGCCTGGTACCTTTTCTCAGTGTAGCATTTTCATCTTGCTTCCTCTGTGTCTGGGTGGTGACTGCAGGCTGAGCCTTTCCTCTTCCCAGAACTCTCCTAGTCTGGTCGCCCTGCCTATACTTCCTGCCTGGTTACTGGGCAATGTGTGTTTTATTGAACCAATATGAGTGACAAATCTTTACAGGGTACAAGAGCCTTATCCCATAGCACATGAGTAAATTCTGAATAAATCCTGGAAGGAAAACTCCAGGAGATAGCATGGACCGTGGGGGTGATCTTGCAAGTTGGCCAAGAAATGTGTGTTGTGACAGAAATACAAGGGTTTGGGAATTGTGGGGAATGCAGAGAGAGAGAGAGAGAGAGAGAGAGAGAGAGAGAGAGAGAGAGAGAGAGAGAGAGAGAGAGAGGAGGAAGCTTGGTAGTGAGACTTGAAGGATGGCACATGCTTTGAAATTAAGGAACAGGTTGGCAGGGGAACTCTCTGTGCTTAAGGGTGCTTTGAGGGACTTTTACCTTGAATGAAACATCTTCTGAGATCAATGACATGATGATCCATGCTCTTACTCTCAAAACCACCCCCACACACCATTTCCTACGTTCTAACTCCATATTTCTCAGCAAACCTAGAAATGATATCATCCACTCATGCATTCAGCATTTATTGAATGCCTACTATGTGCTAAAGAATATTTTAAATATGGGCACATAGTAGGAGGAAGGAGGCAGAGAACAACAGACAAATAAAGATGTAAAGTAGTATCACCATGTACCAAACTCAAGTCCAAATGGATCAAAGACCTCAGCATAAAGCCAGCCACACTGAACCTTATAGAGAAAGTAGGAAATACACTTGAATGCATTGGCACAGGAGACCTAAGTATAACCCCAGCAGCACAGACACTGAGAGAAACAATTTATAAGTGGGACCTCCTGAAACTGAAAAGGACATGGTCAACAAGACAAAACAACAGCCTACAGAATGGGAAAAGATCTTCACTAACTCTACATCAGACAGAGGTCTGATCTCCAAAATATACAAAGAACTCAGGAAACTGGACACCAAAATAACACATAATCCAATAAAAAAATGGAGTACAGGCCTAAACAGAGATTTTCAACAGAGGAATCTAAAATGGCTTGAAAGACACTTAAGGAAATGTTCAACATCCTTAGTCATCAGAGAAATGCAAATCAAAACAACCCTGAGATTCCATTTTACATCTGTAAGAATGGCCAAGATCAAAAACACTGAAGACAACTTATGCTGGAGAGGCTGTGGGGAAAAGGGAACACTCCTACATTGCTGGTGGGAATGCAAGCTGGTACAACACCTTTGGATGTCAGTGTGCCGATTTCTCAGAAAATTAGGAAACAACCTTCCTCAAGATCCAGCAATAACACTTCTGGGTATATATCCAAAGGATGCTAAATTGTATCACAAGGACATGTGCTCAACTATGTTCATAGCAGCTTTTTTTTTTTTTTTTTTGTCATAGCCAGGGCCTGAAAACAACCTAAATGTCCCTCAACTGAAGAATGGATAAGGAAAATGTAATACATTTATGCAATGGAGTACTACACAGCAAAAAACTTAATGACATCTTGAATTTTGCAGGAAAATGGATGGAGCTAGAAAACATTATTTTGAGTGAGGTAACCCAGACCCAGAAAGACAATTATTACATGTGCTCCCTCATAGGTGGTTTTTTTAAACACAAAGCAAAGAAAATCAGCCTACACACCACAATCCCAGAGAACTTAGACAACAATGAGGACCCTAAGAGAGACTTACATAGATCTAATCTACATGGGAAGTAGAAAGTATAAAAATACAAGATCTCCTGAGTAAATTGGGAACATGGGGACCTTGGGGGAGGACAGAAGTGGGGAGGGGAGCAGAGAAAAATGTAGAACTCAATAAAAATCAATAAAAAAAAGATGTAGAGTAGTACATTCCTCCCAATCACTGAGAAAAATGGAAGCAGGAGAGAAGGCAATGAAGTGTGAGGTGGACTAGAAATGATTCCATAAGGTGGCCAGGGACTTTGACCGTACAGAGCTGAAAGACTGAAGGGAGGCAGACTCATTCGGCCACATGGAAACTGGAGGGTTTAAGCAGGTGTATTTTGCCAGAGGAGCTCAGAACAGGCATGGAGAGTGTGTGTTCATGGACGCTCTGATGCCTCACTGAGTGTGGAATCAAATTAAACAAGGAAAAAAGAGACAGGGACACCAAGAACACAGGGACAACATCAAAGGGTTAACACGGAGCGAGGACAGGATTGTCCCCGCAAAGGGACAGAGATGGAGATAAAGAGTGGGTGCTCGGAGAGGGACATTGGGATTGGTAAGGTCAGGGAGTGGTGACCAAGGTCACCAACTGACTGCTACCGCTGACCCCTGTATGCTGGGGGAGGGCCGAACCACTTCAAAAAAGCTCACAGCATAGGATCCTGGAATGACATCACCCGCAACTCCGGTTTGCAGAAAGAGCCTGTCTCCTCAAAACACCTGGCAACTGTTCTGAGAACATGAAATTGAGGTTATAATTTATGGTGACTGACAGGACATTAGTGACAATACTTTCAGCTAATCTTCTTGTGCACAGAAAGTGATCAAGCTGATGTCACCAAGACCCCACGTGAGTCACAGCTGTGATACGAAGCTGCCCAAGTCTAGGGAGATTGAGCAAGAGGCAGTCTCCCCTCACTCTGATCCACTAACGAAAGTATAGGCATGGAAAATGAAATGTTGGCCAACTTTGGTCTCCTGAAAAAGTCTAGAAAACCCCAAGGAGGGGATAACACAGTGTTAAAAGCACTGGAGGCTCTTCCAGAGGACCCAGGTTCAATTCCAAATTCACAACTGTCTGAAACTCCAATTCCAGGGGAATCAGAGCTCATAACTATCTGTAACTTGAGTGAGGACACCCTCACACAGGCAAACGGACAAAAAATAAAATAAAAAAAGAAAATCCCAGGGAGACGCCACTAATGAAATGCCAGCCTAGATAAGTACAAAAATTATGGGGAAACACTTGGACTTTACCAGACAGAAATGCTACCGTCAAGGCCACAGCTGCAGACGGACAAATTTCTGGAGCCACTTACTGGCTATGAGAAAATGATTGTCGCAGGGGCCTAAATGCATAAGGGAAATGCACAAGGCTGTATCTCATCTGATGACTGATACCAAGTGGGTAAAATCTCCCAAGCAGCAGAGGAAGTCAGGGAAGAAATGGCCGGAGTCCTTAAGATTGGCACAGTGAAAGGAAAGGCAATGGCAGGTGCAGGGTGTTATCAATAGCAAGGCATGAGTGGAGAACCATGTCAGAGCCAGTAGGCAGCCAATAGGGAAGGCAGATAAAAACCCAACGGTAGGTCAGAGGATACATGCTACATTATGGTGTCTCTCTGGAACATGTAAGGGAAAGGGAATGAGTGGTGTGTGTGTGTGTGTGTGTGTGTGTATGTGTGTGTGTGTGTATATATGTGTGTGTGTATATATGTGTGTGTGTCTGTCTGTGTATGTGTGTGTGTGTGTATATATGTGTGTGTGTGTATATGTGTGTGTGTCTGTGTGTGTGTCTGTGTGTATATATGTGTGTGTGTATATATATGTGTGTGTGTGT